TATGAATGATTAAATATATATATATATCTTTTGAAAATCTATAAAATTTAATAACATTAGGGTAGTCAACTTTATAGTGATACTTAATCTGTATTTTATTAATTAAATTTATTAGTCTTTGGATATATAGTAAGTATAGAATTAAAAGTATTCTTTATTATAACTAGGTGAAAACTCATTGCTTTGTAATAATTTAGGTAATATACCTACAAAATTGCTTGTTATATTGGTCATAAAATTCAATTGGTCAAAATTACTGAAATAACATTTGTAGGTGCATTAATGCTATGCATAAGAGATTCTTCGCAGTGAAATAGCAATTAGGAGATTTATACATATAGTTACATCAGTTATACCGGTACCAACATTTAACTAACGTGTGCAGGATAAGTTTCTCTTGGTATGCTATATATTCTCATCAAGAATTCTAATATACATATTTATGTACTTCACGTTTGATTCATCTAAAAGTTTCATCATCTATATACAGTTAACCCTCTGTAAATACATATCATCGGGACCAAACTTTTGAGGACATGCATTTAGAGAACAATAATAAAATATACATTTATGGAAGTTTAGTATATATTTGAGCCAGAAAATTAATATACATTTAGGGAGATTATGCACTTAGAGGGATGCATTTAGGGGGCTGACTATATATATTATTTTTTAATCTCTTTATCGTACAGTTTAAGCCTTGAAGTTCAACATGATAAACAACAGCAAATCCTCTATGCCTAATTACTTTGAGGTTATCAAAATTAATTTGGGAACAATCAAACCTAGTTATCCCAAGCTCATCTAAATATTCTTCTAATTTCTTTAAATATCCAGATACTAATTTATTGTTAATATATAATTAAAAGTTACAATTTTATAATATGATTATGACTACTCACAAGTATTCTCTAATTTTTGCTCGTCTTTGTTATTTTTGGTGATGTTATATTTTGAATCATTATCTGTCACCATTGTTAGCTCAATATTTCAAATAGCAAAAAAACTATTTAAGCAAAATCTATTAAAGCAATCTTTTTATGAAAATTCAAGAACAAGTTTATATATCAAACTCAAACTCAATATGCAATCTTGTTCTAACACCAAAATAAATAGTCAATAAAAAAAAATTCAATTTAATCTAATAAATAAATTGCAATCCTAGTTTGTGAAATTGTTTTTTTTTTTTTTTTTTTTTAGATTTAGTTTGTGAAATTGTGCATGAGAAAACTGTGTGTATATGTTTACAAAAGAACTTTTATATAAATAATGATTCCTATTTAGTTTTACGATTTAGAGCAGGCATTACACATATTTTTTTTTTTCGTACATGTAATTTTCTTTGATTTTCCTATACATAATCTAGCTTGAGGTTTGAGTCCTATCTTTGCTTGTAAAATTGCAATCCTAGTTTGTGAAATTGTGCACTAGAAAACTGTGTATACATGTTTACAAGAGAACTTTATATGAATAATAGTTCCTATTTAGTTTTACATTATTCATATGATTTGAGCAGGCATTACGCATATTTTTTTTATTTTTCTTCATACGTACGTATAGTAGGCAACAAAAGTAATGCTCGATTTGCACATCAAAGCATGTGAGTAAAAACGTGGCTATGCTTACCCCTTTTTGACATTTTCTAAGGAATTTTTTTTTTTTAACTTTCTTCTTTGACGTCTAAATAAACACCATGTTGCACATCTAATAGCCTGCAAAAAGTAAGAAATATACTTATTTTATACCAAAAAATAACCACTTAGTAAACTTTACAATAAATGCATCACGCCTATCCATTAAGTTAATAGCTTCTTAAACAATACAAAAGAACTAAAAAAATATAATTTTTGCCTTTGTTTAAATATTTCTCGGTTTTCAAGAAGCAAAAAAAAAAAGTTCTATGAAAAAAAACAATGAAGGAATGACATGTGCCATTGCACAACTTTAACTACAATCTGGGACTTGTATGGTTTGTTATTTATAGTTAAGGTCCTGTATCACTTTGTAATTAAGTTTTTTTGTAGCATTAAAAGCTCATATTCTATAAATTATAATATAATTATACATTAAATTTTATATTAAAAAAAAAAGATAGAATGTATACAAGTTAAGGTGTAGCATTTTTCAACGAAACAAAAAAAGAAACGAACAAGTAAATTCAAAATATTAAAGTATAATATTACATCATTAAAAAATTACAAATAAGTAGTTGGTATCAAGTTTTAGAGATAGATAGGTCTTGGTAATAACTTGAGAATATTTCGCAGGTATTATTAAAAGTTTGTTAATAAATAATTTAAATTATAATAAAAAAAAAAATTAAATCTTTTATATTAATGTTCTTAAAGACTATATTTTTTTGTTTTTGTATTTTATTTGTTCATTAGTTGAAATAAATATAATGTTTTAATATAATAAGTGTTATTTTTGTATTATTAGAAAAGCTACAAAATCAGCCAAAATTAAAAAAAATTGAATTTTAATATAAATAAGGAAGACCTCCAACCTAAACTTATTGAAAACAATTAGAAAGCATTAAAGAATAATATCTGAAAGTTTGAAGGTCTTTTAAAAGTGTAAATGATCTTAAAGTCATTTTAAAAAAGGATACAAAAACTTTAATATATTCACTCTTTAGGTAATTTTGGACCCAATATCATAAAGAATCAAATAATATTGAATATGCATGTGTATTCAATAATGTATTAATTAATAAATTTTTTTTTATATATATTATGCAAAAATAGAATAAATCATAAAACTTCATTTTATTAGAAAATCGGGCGTTACTTTTGTTGTCTACTGTATGTATATGTAATTTTTTTGTTTTTTCTATACATAATCTAGCTCAAGGTTTGAGCTCTATCTTTGTTTATAAAAATGTATAAATATAGAGATCAAATTAATAAAATAAAGGGGTGTGGCGACATAGTGCAGTTGGCAAGTTGTCACCTTCCCAAATGGCAAGTTAGGGTTCAAATCCCACTGGCGACGATTTTGAAAAATTAAGACTTGTTTCGGTAACAATTATTTGACGATCAGTTGGGTATATCACCTGTAGTCTTGGTACCACCATCTTGAATGGGAGCTTTCGGG